CGGTGAAATCTTTACTGTTGCATTACCACTGTTCTTCTTTTTTCTTTTTTCTTTACTTACTGGTCTGTAATATCTTGTCACTTCTTGCATAAGAAGTATAATGTTTTTGTTGCCTAATCAAGCACTGATAGAACTAGAACAGTACATGCCGGTACTGAGAAGAATTCTGCTGTTCCGAAACCGCCATATAAACTATTTTTGCCTGCAAACACTTGCTGTTGAAGAATAATTTGTGTTGTTTTTTTTTTAAATCACAATTAAAGTTTTAGGTTGTAATTCTTTTTTCTTTTATCTTTTTTTTTTTTGCTTGGGTCATTTGGGTTTGGATTTTTTTTACTCTGAATGATGGAAGAAGGAAGAGGACCTGGTGTTTGAGGAGAGCAGAAACAACAAAAGGCAAAGGATTTTATTTCCAAAGAAAATACTGCTCTTGAAAACATGAGGACAAATGTTTCAATTAAATTCATTTTTTTCTCTCTTTTTGAGCCAGCTGTGGATGCTAATAGTAACCTGGATTCTTTGTGTCACTTTGGTTTCCCGTAATCAACTGTAACTGTGTTGTCCTTGAATTAATAATAATCTCATCATTTAAGACTACTCACTTCCTTGGTTTGGTTTTTAAATAGCACCGCACCTTACTGCAGCATGCACATTATATTGTTATCCAGAAAGAAAAACAGTGGTCCATGAAAAATTCCTGCCAGCAATGCCCCATTGCTCACAGAAATAGCCCCAGCTGCATGTGCTGGAGCTCATTCTGCCACCTTTGCCTCCAGTTTCCCTGATTCCCCCCTTGACAGAAGCAGATAGATGCCATGGGAGTTCTGCTTCTGGTATGCCTCGTGATGGAGCCTGTAACTCACCAGTATACATTTATTGCCATATGCAACATACGAAATGCCATGAATCAGCCTGTTCAGCATAATGCCAGACTACGCTTATTTTGTCGAATGCAGTATGGCAGGAAGGTAGCAAACATGAGATTCAGTGCTGCTCTCTTTAGTGGTAGGACTCAGGGTAGGGCCAAATCCTGCACTGCATCTGCACCTCTCGCCTGCTTTACTTGAAGTGTGCCAGGTACTCTCAGGTGCTTCAGATCTATTAAACTATTGGGCTTTTGAAAGAGAAAAACAGTAGCTATATAATAGCCAACATAACTGCCAGTAAGAGGGGTAGGTAATATAAACTAATTAAAAGAGCTTCTGCAAGAAGCCTGCCTCCTCCCTTCACTGTGTGAATGGGTGACTCTTTTCCTGAAAGTCTGCCATGCCTGCCAGCACCTGGGTCTCCACACTGCAAAGAAACCTCCTGTTTCCTACTTCCGAGTCCTAGAGAAGTCCTCTGCTCTCCATCACCTCTGAGGTTGCATTCTGGGATGCCTTCATGATGTGGGCATGTCCTTCATCCTTTTCTGTGCTGTTTTTGCCTGGTTTTCTGTGTGGTCCAGCAGCTTTCCCCAGCTTAAGGGCACTTTGTCTGTGTCCCTAGCAAGATGCACACGCTCTCCCTCTCCTTTGAGCTCCTTACTGAGCTTACTGGTTACAGCAGCCAAGGTGAGGAAGATGGGAAGCTTTGCATACTGCTCTGCTCCAGGTAAAGAGGAAGAGCAAGGTATTTTCTGAAGTACGTGACCACCAAACTGGAGACAAAGAGTTAATTACTATACCTTGCTCCATCTTCTGAAGTTAGTTCACAATGGTGTCTCTTGCAGTATGGAAGCTCTGACTTAATTCACACTCACATCTGTGCTGTTTATTTTTATACAGGAGGAAAGTGGCACTGACTGAATCAGTGAAATTTTGGTACTATCCATAATTCAGTATCTGCTAAACTAAACCTTATGAAGCTGGAAGTGTTTGTTTTTAAGCTTATTTTAAATTAAAGATTTGTAGTTAGTTATATTGAATTACGGAAATAAATAAGACTGAATTGTTCTAGCGATGCCCAGTGCCTAACTTAAAGTAGAATATCTCCAGCTGCCTTAACACTGCTGAAAACAAATGAAAAATAGTTTCACGGACACCTTCTTATACCAACACAACAGAGTTTAAATTTTTGCCAGGAAGAAACAGTAATTTGTTTTCAAGAGCTGTCACCATACAGAGGTACAAAAACAAACCACTTCTCTTCTGGGTGAGCTGCAAGCTCCTCAGAAGCTTTGGTCGCTCCTTCAGATTGAAATCTCAAAAACGTTAATGAGAAAAGCTATCCATCTTTTCCCCATCAGACAAGACAGGACTGCTTGTAGTCCCTGCATTCTGAAAAAGAACTTGTGTGTTTTCACGATCACGCTGACTGATCTCAATGTATCTTGTAGTTTGTACACTTGGTTTAGACTTAGTTATTTACAGGTGAGCATCCACAACTCTATTCCACATTTGCTTGACAGATGCAGACTTCTTTAAAATTAAATATCTATCTCACTGTCTCAGATGACTTAGTACTTATTGAAATGTATGTATTACTGCTTGTAAAGGTGCAAAATGAAAACCGCTATACAGTAGCTAGTGAACCTAAACCATGTGCTCCAAACTTTTTACTGAAAATATTTTTCAACGCTTTGGGTAAGTTTCTGAAAGTGCATGGAAGTGTTTGGGCTCAGTGGTGCAGGGAACCCATGTCTGTGATTCTAGCTGGCTATGCAAATCCCTAGTGAGCCAATAGTAATATGAAACGAACACTTGAAGGCCAGATGCAGTTGAAAATTTAAACATATTGAGTTCATAGCATGTGATAGTTTAATCATTATTTAAGCTTTAGAAATGTCACAGCATAATTTCAGAATGAGTACAAACACTTCCATGCACAAAAATTGCTTTCTTGATGCTACTTTTGCCCTTCCTGGGACAGTTATTCTCTTGTGAATTTTCTGAATTTAACCCTCCCTTGATCACAGGCAAATACTCAGTAAAAATTCAAAATCCAAAATATTAAAATAAAGCCTGCAAATGCATTTATAAACTAAGCAAGTTTTTTCTTTATGCTCTTAAAAAAAAAAACAAAAACAAACAACTGTGAAAATATTTCTTTCATTAAAGGCAAAATTTGCAACAAAACCGGTTAAACGGAAAATGCTTAGTCAGTCTTATTTGCAGAGTCAGGGAATGGAATCTTGGATTTATAAGCACCCATGCAGGATTAAATTCAACTCTACTGTGCATGTGATACATTTTTAATACCCTCACAGCATACATGGAGCCCTGTCTCCTTCTGTACTTGTGAGGGAAATACAAGGAGCAGAACTTTCTGAATTTGTCCTGTATTCAGGAAATTCTGATGAATGCAATTGACTTTGCAGCATAAATTGTGTTGATATGTAAAACAGTGTCATAACCCCAGTCTACATTTAGAAAGAACACTTCCACTTTACATAGCCTACTATGATTTGTTTGTAATAGGAACGGTTCAGGTTGGGTTTTGGAAAATATCAGTTATAATGATTCTACCGTTTCTGAGAAACAGGCTAGGGATAGAAATGCTCTCCATATTAATTTCTGGGGGCATGTTGTTTGCACATTTTCTAAGTGGGATCTTTTTGGACCAGCTGTACATCCTCATAGCAAAGACTTTAAGGTCATAAAATTTGGCCTTTGTATCAGAAATGTACTGGGAGTTATTTCTGGTAAAATTCATTGGAATTGTGCCATTGTGGGTGTTTTTTAAAACTGAACTTTTCACATGTTCTGTAGGAGCAAAATCAGCATAATCATTTCACATTCCTTAAGGTTTGTGTCACCTTCTATGCTCTCATGAGCTTGTTAGTGCTAACCAGAAGATGAACCTGTCATTCCTGTAGAGCCACTGAATATGTTATAGAAGATAGCTGTTGGGTTGAAGGTAGAGTTCTTTGCAACTCATGAAATGGCCAAGGCATTTCTTTTGTCTCCTCTTCTTTTTCACTTACTAGTTCTGGACACCATGGAAGAGTAAGCTAGTTTATTGAAAATTAGAAGTAAAGGCTAGGGAAGGATTAGGTGGGTATTCTTTATTGTGGCTTTTCATGTATGGAGACAGAACGAGTTCACAATTAAAAGTGTTTGTTAGAGGTCTAAATCATGCAACAGTGTGGTGCAGGAAGAACCTTTCCTTGTCTGATACATGCTCTTGGAGCAAAAATTGGGGAATTACTGTGGGTATATCATAAGCTTAATCACTGGAAAATGAACCCAGTGTACATTAGAACATGCTTTAGTTTCACGGAACAACTAAGTAACTGTGGAAGGTGTCACTGTTAGTGCTCCTGACATGCTGTTCAGTCTGGCAGCCCCAGTTTAAGCTCACTGCACTTGGCTCTTCTGGCACACAGTGCTGTGATGGGGAAGATAAGCTGACAAAACAGTCATCAAAGATTCACTCACATCAGGGTGAGTCCCACACAATGAGAGGAGCTATTAATATTTTAAAGGGTGCCATCCATCCCTATAGGCACCAAAGTATTACATCACTGTGTGTACAGGACAGAATGGCAGTAATGAATAGATCTAATGTGCTGAGAGCCCAGGGAGGGACAAGTTAGCATTTCCCATGCAGAACAACTGGATAGAATTAAGTGAAATAAACAAAGCTTATCCTTAGGGCAAAAAAAATTCCTCATTGACTATTCTGAGCTGCAAAGCAAGACTGTATCAAATAGTATGGTTGGGTTTGTTCAGGCTTAAAATTTCTTCACCAGTCAAAACTATGGTTTTTTTTGCAAAGGAATGTGATCTGTAGCTTGAACACAATAATAATGATGACTGAGTGATAAACAATTTGATGTATGTCATTTTTATTACCAAAAAGCCAAAATGTGAAAAGCTGAAGCCACATACATCTGGTAATTTTGAGGCTCACTTGACAGAGAATGCAGGTATGCTCTTTCACTGAGACTTTCTGACTGCTCTCAAATCCTGTCCCCACAGGGCCCAGCCTCCTCTCCCAGAGTGCGCTCCAGCTCAATTCGAAACCTGAAGGGTCCTTCCAGTACTCAGCCAGCTACCACAGCAACCAGACCCTCGCCCTGGGTGAAACAGCGGCTGCCCAGCTCCCAGCCCGTGGCAGTCAGGCCAGAGGTGCCATCCAGAGCTACAGCCAGGTATGTGTCCTAAGCAGCCTGGGTCTCTTGAACCTCGAACTGTGTAAGATATCTTCAAGGAAGCAGAGCTCGTTGGTGCCCACCAGAATATGAATGTCTGCCTTTACTTTCTGTCTTGTTCTGTGCATCTGCAGCAGAATGAATATCACCTTGATTTTCATAACTCTAAAATGGGTTGACTTGCAGAGTAATAAAATAATCATGATTGAAAAGGAGATTTACATGGCAGTTCCTTGCCTGCATATACATGTTGGTGATAGCATGTGTAGGCACTTAAGTTTGAAAATTTCTGTGACTGCTGATTAGGAGCCCTAATTAAGGTCTAGGACCTCCCTGCATCAGTATGAGGATATTACTGAAAGCAGTAAGTGCCAGCAAACAAAAGCAAAGCCAGGCTGAGATGAGATGCGAAACCTGCTTGGGATACCATGCATCACCTGGTGCCATGGCATAATCCCAAGTCTGAGAATCATTTTTTGCCTTTTTTCCTCTCATATTTTAAGACAAGCAACTTATCAGACAGCCTCCTGTATGCTTCAAACATCCTGAGAGATTGTTTCAGGTACTCATGAAAACTTTATAAATCTGGTTTCCTGGATCTGACACACAACCCTCTCATTCTTCTGTGCTTTTCACTGTTACATCAAAGTTTCTCACTGGGAAGTTAAATTTCAGTTTAGACAAAAATTTGTGGAAGTGTACCTACATATGCAAAGTCTGACTTATTTTCAAGTCAGGTTATTTTCTCTATTTAGATGTAACCGCCCCAGCAAAGCAGACACTGCTCAGTGTGACACAGGGACACTTTATAATTCATGATTCTGTAGAAGTGAGTAGCATCTGAATTTTGAAACCTTAAATTGCTAAGAGAATTCAAGTATTATATAGTCATTTCACAGTTTGCAGGATACCAAGAGATATACAATATTCTATTCTCTCAATTTGCTCAGAAAAGCTCCCTATCCTCTTAAGATTGAAAAATGAAATAAAGCACAGTTAAATTTAATTTCAAATTGGGTAGGTACTTTTTTTTCCTTTTATAAAGCCAACCATATGCTGGGCTGCATCTAAAGGAGCATGACCAACAGGTCGAAGGAGGTTGATTCTGCCCCTGTATTCCACTCTCATGAGACCCCACCTGTAGTACTGCGGTCAGCTATGGGGGCCCCAAAAAAAGAGGGTCATGGACGTCTTGGAGTGAGTCCAGAGGAAGACCATGAAGATGAGGGACAAGTGGACCTGATGATCTTGAAGGTCTTTTCCAGCCTGGTTGATTCCATGACTCCATGATCAGAGGGCTGAAGCACCTCTCCTGTGAAGACAGGCTGAGAGAGTTGAGCTTGTTCAGCCTGAAGAGAAGGGTCCAGGGAGACCTTGTAGCAGCCTTCCATTACCTAAAGGGGGTCTACAAGAAATCTGGAGAGGGACTTTTCAGAAGGGCATGTAGTGATAGGACAACGGGAATGGCTTTAAACTTTTAAAAGAGGGTAGATTTAGATTAGATACAAAGAAGGAGTTCTTCACTCTCTGAGGTTGGTGAGACACTGGCACAGGTTGCCCAGAGGAGCTGTGGCTGCCCCTTCCCTGGCAGTCTTCAAGGCCAGGTTGGACAGGCTTTTGAGCAACCTGGTCTAGTGGAAAGTATCCCTGTCAATTGCAGAGGGGTTGGAACCAGATGATCTTAAAGGTCTCTTCCAACTCAGACCATTCTGTCACTGTATAATAAAGGGTTTAAGGTGAGCCTGCACAGAACTGATGGACAGGGGTAGAGCAGTTGATGTCATCTACCTGGACTTGTGTAAAGCGTTCTACACTGTCCCACACAAAATCCTTGTCTCTAAATTGGAGAGACATCAATTTGATGGATGGACCACTCGGTGGATAAAGAAGTGGCTGGATGGCCACACACAAAGAGTTGTGGTCAATGGCTCAATGTCCGGCTGGAGACCAGTAACGAGTGGTGTCCCTCAGGGATCGGTGCTGGGACCGGTCTTGTTTAACATCTTCGTCGCTGACATGGACAGTGGGATTGAGTGTGCCCTCAGCAAGTTTGCCGATGACACCAAGCTGTGTGGTTCAGTTGATACGCTGGAGGGAAGGAATGCCATCCAGAGGGACCTCGACACACTTGTGAGGTGGGCTGATGCCAACCTCATGAAGTTTAACCATGCCAAGTGCAAGGTCCTACACCTGGCTTGGAGCAATCCCAGGCACAGCTACAGGTTGGGCAGAGAAGAGATTCAGAGCAGCCCTGTGGAGAAGGACTTGAGGGTGTTGGTCGATGAGAAAATGAACATGAGCCGGCTTCAGTGTGTGCTTGCATCCCAGAAAGCCAACCGTATCCTGGGCTGCATCAAAAGGAGCGTGACCAGCAGGTCGAAGGAGGTGATCCTGCCCCTCTACTCTGCTCTCGCCAGACCTCACCTGGAGTATTGTGTGCAGTTCTGGTGTCCTCAACATAAAAAGGACATGGAACTGTTGGAACAAGTCCAGAGGAGGGCCACGAGGATGATCAGGGGACTGGAGCACCTCCCGTATGAAGACAGGCTGAGGAAGTTGGGGCTGTTCAGCCTGGAGAAGAGAAGGCTGTGTGGAGACCTCATAGCAGCCTTCCAGTATCTGAAGGGGTCCTATAGGGATGCTGGGGAGGGACTCTTCATTAGGGACTGTAGTGACAGGACAAGGGGTAACGGGTTAAAACTTAAACAGGGGAAGTTTAGGTTGGATATAAGAAGGAAATTCTTTCCTGTGAGGGTGGTGAGGCACTGGAATGGGTTGCCCAGGGAGGTTGTGAATGCTCCATCCCTGGCAGTGTTCAAGACCAGGGTGGACGAGGCCTTGGGTGATATGATTTAGCGTAAGGTGTCCCTGCCCACGGCAGGGGGGTTGGAACGAGATCATCTTAAGGTCTTTTCCAACCCTGACTATTCTATGATTCTATGATTGGAGCCAGCAGGAGAACAGGATTCCAGCTAGAAAGAAAAAGGAGACTCTAATATCCAGTTCTAGCCTAGGCAGATGTCATCATGAGTTGTGTTTTGTGAGAAGTATCATACCTTAGGGGTTAGCCTGAAAGAGTATGATTCATTGTTCAAGGAGGCTAGAAAAAGTAAGATAATGGAAAAGGAACAGTTATGAGAACAGAGCAACAGAAACAAAAACAAAGGAGAAATTAGAGGGGAAGGAAAAAGCACTTTTTGGTGGGTTTTTTTTTTTTGAAAGGCAGGGAGGAAGGAATCTCAGGTGTGAGATTGTCTGGCAGTTAGAAGTAAGGATATTCTTAATGTAACTTTATCCTACTGATAGAATAGGATGAATTTATGAAGGGGAAAATTAATTATCTAGATTTCTTTCATTGAAATCACAGTGAACAGCCATTGCTTACAGCTGAAAACCTCTCATGAACCATCTACTTTGCAGAAAAATGGTTACCTTCAGAAAAGTAACTAGTAGGTTTTCTTGGTATGAGTGGGCAGGAAATAGGTTTTCTTCCTCTGTTCCTCCAGATTGTATGGTAGATGTTACTGCAGGAAAGTAACTTAGCATAATTTTTCATACCGTCATCCTGCAAAGGGTACTTGACAACCTGGGACAATTAAAATATATCTTGGAAATATCAATTAACTGCCATCTAAACTATGAATTAATAGATAAAAAGCATAAAAAGGTGGTTTCGAAAGAGGTAAAAAAGAAGAGTAAAAAGTCAAAAATTAAAATTAAAAAGTTCTGAATATGACCATTGCTGATCCCACAATTAAGGAGAAAAAGTGTCAATACTTGGAATTGTTTTGCTATCCCTATTATAATTAAAATAAGCCTCAGGAGTCAAAACTGCTCAGATTGTGATGATTTCCTTTGGTATTTGTGTGCAAGGAATATAGCTATCTCTGAACATGAATGATAGCCCAAATGCATGGGAAAAAAATGTAAATAGTCCCAAGGCCAGCTGTGACAGCAAGAACAATTTCTGAAAATGCAATTGGATAGGAAAGAGAAACTAATTAGTCTTGGGACTTCCTGCATAGTGCTGCAAAGTGCAATCTAACATTTTTGTCAATTTGGAGGACTTCATTATAGATCACAGAGTTTTTCTACTGCTTTGAGTACTTTAGAACACGGAACTTTTATCTTCTAAATGCTACTGGAATAGGATTTTTTTAGCAACAACTGCTTCTCTGGCAGGGAATTACTCTGTTTCTCGCTTAAACCAGCTCTTCAAACTTAGTGTCTAAATCCTGATGCATCCTGTATCAGTCGATTAAGGTTATTTGTGAATAATCAGTAGTACTACAAAATGTAGCAGATTTTGCAGATGAATTGCTCAAATGTGAATTTTCTATTTGAATAATGCCATTTGTGAGCAACTGATGGATTGAGTCTACTGTCATCTGGAGAATGGTCAGCTTATGTTACAGATATCGTAGGAATATAAAGCATAGCATGCACTCCAGATAGTGTTTTTCCACATGCTTTACCATGTATTTGCAAGGGAAGGGGAAAGGAAGTGAAACTAGTTTACATTTCTGGATGATAACTTTTTTAGCCTGTGGTGATGCTGCAGTCTTTTCAGAGGCTGGGGCAGCAACAGAGGTAGATCCTTCCTGCATATTATCCTATTCCTGAAGCTCCTGGACTGATCGAGCTGGCACAGAATTTGAAAATCCTTAAAAATCAAAAGTAGATAGAAAGCAAAGGTAATAATAAAAAAAAAAAAAAAAAAAAAAAACGAAAAGCCTTCAAAAATCATGTAATGGTTAATTTTCTAACTTGTCTCCTTTTTCCTACAAACAAGTCATAAGTTTGTCATTCACCAGACTGCCACACCTTACTAGCTCTATTTAGAATATTACCAAATGAGTGGAAGTACATGTTCAGTTGTCAAGCAGAAACTCTATTCTGGCCTTTTTCAGTTAGACTCTTGGCTCTTCCTGCCATCAGCCATCTGTGCCACAGGGTGATAGGCTTCTTGATAATCTACCCAGACAAAATCTAAAATGAGGACTTTGCTTCTGGTAGGATGTGGCAGATTATGATGTGTTTGAAACTGGATTCCAAATATGAACATGAGAATTTTTCTGTCACGAAAGGAAGCAGATGAAATCTTAACACAAATTACTCTTATTATGACACAGAGAACAATTCACTAGTATGGCTTATGGTAGTGAAGAACTGATCAGCATAATGCTGGTTTGATACTACAATAGGTAATTAACGATTGCAGCTTTCATTGCAGCTTTAAAACCAGAGACTGACCGTCTCTTGACACTCTGAAAGGATCTCACATGACTCTGTGGCTCTAAGACTACGAAGGTATTACCTACCTTCATCTATACATATGAGATTAGGATCAGGTAGGCTGACGAATTTTCCTCATAGTGTTGGGGTGTATTTTGCAAAGACAGTATAGCCATGACCTTTGTGATAAAATCAGGAAAAACAGATGGAATAGGCCACATTGGAGGGACCCAGAGGTGTAGTCTGGCATCTATTTTCATATAAGTGTATTTGAACATAGGTAGCATCTTCCTAGTTAAGTCAGGAACTTATAAATGACAGCAAAGCAGTCCTGCAGAAAAAAGACAGGTGCTACCATGGACTGAAGTCTGTATCCCCAGGACTAGAGAATGTTAAGCATTTTCATACCCTCATCTGCCCTTTGTAGAAAAGTGTTGATACAGGCATTGGACAAGAACAGAGTGATACTTTCAGTGAAGCCATATGGAATATTCTTGGGGCTGACAGAAGAAAATAAGCCCTCAATAGACTGGCAAGTCTTGCAGTCACTGAAAACAGCACAGAGCATGACTGAGATTGTGCAACAGGGCTGGACCCTTCAGTGAGTACCTGTGACTCTCAAAAACCCTATTAAGGATGACCAAGTTTGCTCCCAAATTCAACAAGACCCACCAATATTCAAGAAGCCAAAACAGCCTGGAGGGTTATCTTCCACACAACTTGAGCATCCATTGGAAAATCTCTCAAATCAAGAGAATGGGTCTTCTCATTGGCCACAATATACTCCATATGACTATGTTCATATTGAACAGAAATGACCTTGTTTGGGATTTTAAGGACCAAATGATACCTGAAAGTTCGAAAAAGCAAAACAAGCTGCAAGCTGGTGCTGCCATTTAATGCTAAACTAAAAATGCTTGTGAATACAAGTTCATCCAGACATAAGATGGACATACAGACTTATTCAAATGTAAGACAACTTTCCAGTTTCTTCTGCCAGAGAAGTATACAGGACATTGAACACAAATTGTCATTTCTTTAGGGTAACCAGTATCATGATTCAAACTCTCCAGCATTTTACTGGAAATTATATCATTATCTCATTCCCAAGAAATTACTCTGAAGCCATTTCTGTTCTTAGTTCTGTTGCTAAGACTCAGGGTTGCATTAACAGAAGCTCTTTTCCTTAACACCTTCATTGAATTCTGAAGCATAGATGCACAAAACCTACCAGGTTGTGCGTGCCTAAGAAGGAAGAGTCTGAAGGGATTCTAGATGATGTAGCAAATAGATCTGCTGCACTAACATATTCATAATGGTCATCTTGTTGTCGACCAAGACTTCCGTAACTCAGGTTTTGCTGGTTGTACACACCATTTTCCCTCTGGGAGCAATCTCCAAGAATCAACATGCCAATGTGTCAGTAATTAGCAGCTGACTCCAAAGTTTTGCTGAAGCCGTCAAGCTATCTAGGATTTTATAAATCCTTACCCATGCAAAATTTACATCAGAATAAATAATTCAGCACAGTTTCTTCGCCCCTCTCAATTCCATGTCATAAAACAGGAATCTCGTTTACGGTCATTCCATTTATTTTTTTTTTAAGTGGAATTGTAAAAAAAAAACAAAAAAAAACCTATCCTGAAATTTTGTGCAATAAATGCATGAATTAAGGTAGGCAAACAGCTGTTAGACTGTTCTCTAGTCTACTATAACCTGACTGGACACCCTCAGTAATGTTCTGTAAATCTCATTTTGTCTGTATCTGCAGAGGATGATCTTTCTCATCAGATTAAATGGGAAAGAAGGTATTTGCACAGGTGTTTTGAAGTTCTTATGGCTTTTTTCACAGATTTCTGCTGTTAAAAAGAATATATCAGAATCCATCTATTAGCTCCAAATAAGCAAATCAAGCTGCTTCTCTTTTGGATATCAGAAAAATTATATCTCTGAGTCTTGGAATAGGTACTTACAGGCTGTAGTAAGAAAGTCCTTGATCTTTTTTCACATCTATGAAATAGGTTGATGTGGGAGGATAGAACAACTAGAAAGCATATCTGACCTCAGTTTATTAGTTTAAACACAGTTTCATTATCAGGTTAACAACAATAATGGAAAAATAAAGGAAAAATACCATTGTATTTCATTCTTCCACATGAAGTATAATGTCACATTGCAGGATGAACAGCAGCATGTCTGCATGGTTGTCTTAAGTGACAGGGAGAAACTGAACCACATTTTGTCTCTGAAAACATGAGTGAAGAATGCATCTGTACACTTGGCCCTTTAAAAAAACAGAAGAACCTCGCAGTAAATTTAAGACAGGTCTGAGATTAGTCACATCCTAGAAAATACTGTGCGCTAATGTTTTCACTGCAATCTGTTCATCCAAAAGTTCTCTCCTTCACACAGAGCAAATGCTTTGCTTTTTAGGAAGTGCTATAAACTGTGTTTTTAATTAAGCATTTAATACTCGTGTCCCACCACTAGACCTTCTTCCCTGTAACAGACAATCGTGAAAAGGGCTTATTTTTTAAATTGGTACTTGCAGAGAGCCTGCAGCTTTTATAGATTTATTAGGAACATGGGATAATATTGGTTTACCTGAAATTAATTACTCTGTATCCTTGACACATCAAGCAGTGTAGAAGCAGATTAGAAATTTTGTCTGCATGATGACAGCTCTTGCCCAAAATTGTTATCATCAGTGACAAACTAAGTTACCAGTACATTAGCAATGTGTTGCAGAAGACACTGATAACATTTCAGAAGACTGTTATTTTGGAACAGGGTTGAATACTACAAAATACAAAATTGTTATGCCACTTAACAGTCCAAAAAGTAAAATGTATTAATAGATATCAATTGATAATGTAACTGGTTCAAACAACCTTTCATCACTTGCAAAAATTCCTCTGTCCATGTTGTCTTCAATCTTGCCAGCCTGATTTTGTTTTGTGAAAGTTGTTACCATACAGTTTAAACCTGGGAAATGAAAACTCTGCCCCTGTCAAATACATTGCTGGACAGTCAGTTGCAGATTAGCCCTTCTTTCCAGTTTAAAGCAGAGATGGTAAGTAGCTCAGCATGAAAGTAGCTTTTAAAATTGATGTTTCCCAGAGTTTGCCATCCTGTTTTTTTGTAAGAAGTCTTTCAAGTGAGACTCTCGAGCTTGTTGGCCATTTATGACAATTTTAAAGCTCTTACTTGATGCTGTGGTGTTTGTAACTCATGGCTGCAATCAAAACAGTCCAGCTCAACAGCATGCAGGCCACTTGCATCTGTGATCAACTTGCCCACCCAGGACTTACCGTACAGAGCAGCTGGAGGAAACAGCTTACATTTACCTAGAAGGCTGTTGCTCTTTAGGGGCAAACAACGTCCCAAAGCCAATGAGGTTTGGATCTGGCCATGCTCCCTTGAGACATGTCTATGCTGCAAGTGCTGGGCTCTGCCATGCTACTAACAACTGGGAGCAAAGCACCAGGAGAAGCCCCATCTCCGAAGCCATGCTTTTTTCTCCAGGTCTAGAAGAACATGTTTTCTTTACTCAGATGCAAAGTATTTAGGATGAGGGGTTGGGCTCCAAAAGTACAAAAAAGAAAAGGACAGAAAAATTTCCAGTAGTCACACACAGGAAGAACGTATTTCTGGCCTTTTGAACCTCATTTACTCTTTGTTCTGATTGGCCATTTATCTTGGCCTCAGTTCCTGACCAAATCCCTTACTTGGTATCCTAGTAAAAATAAGTTCCATACTCAGAACATGGTGCTTTTGTTTACTGTTTACTTGTTTTGTTGTTTTTTTTTTCCTCTAGGATGCTACTAGAAAAGCCGTTGCTATTTAAATGTGAAACCACGCTGCTGTTGTTGTAGCACACCTCTTTGAACTGAATCATTTTGAATTGAAAAATTCATTATTCAGATTTTAAAGGATTTTCTCACTAAGGAAACCAGTAGCCCGGAGGGGTGTGTGTGTTTGGGTGAAGCACTGGTCAGATTGACCCAAGCTGCACTGTCTGCTCCCAGGATCTGGGAGTGCTTTCAGAGGTTTCAAGTAAATCCCCTGCATAGCCAGGAAAAAAAAAATAGTATCTGAAACGAGAATGCATCTTACTGACACAGCGCTGAGCTCCCCCTCACTGCAGGGCGCAGTTATTAGAGGATTTTAATGTTTCCAGATTCACAGAAGATCCCTTGAGCCCAAGATCCCCGATAAAAAAGGGAGAGAGCCTCCTGTGTGTAAGGGTGAGCCCCGTCCTTCGCTGCTCCAGAAGCGGCTCAGGAACGCAGCTGAAATGTCTAATGGACAGCATCTGCCAAGGATTTTCGCTCTCCACTCCCCAACCCCCTCCCCGTTATTGGGCGTACGGTGAACTTTGCGAAGCCCTGCCCCCCGCTGCCGGTCCCGTGGCCAGCGGAGCAGAGGGCTCCCGCCATCGCGGGGCAGATTCCCCGCTGGATGCGGCCCGGGAAGTGCCTGGTACAGCCCAGCCCTGGATGCTCTTCCCGTGCTTTCCTTTGGGCCGCGCAAATAAACGCTGTTCCCCCGCTTTTCCAGGGGGGTACCGGGCCGAGGCGAGCATCGCGGTGCTGCCACCGGGTGAGGTGGGCTGGGGGGAAGCGGTCGCGCACTGTCGCGCCGCCGGCAGCGGCGGCACCCGAGGGCGCCGACTGTGTCCGTGTGGGTTCGGCGCGGTGCCTCTCCTCCCACGGACACCGATGGCTTTCTGTGAGGAAAATCACCGCATCTAAGCCCTTTCCGTGGCTCCAGCCGCTCTCTACCAATGTATGCAGAATAAAAGTTGGGGGGCATTTGTTTATTTATGTGTTTAAGCTCAGGCTCACCCACGCCTGGTGTAGGGATAGATAGGTGTGCGGGTGCGTTTCAAAGCACGAGTCCCCCCGAGCCGTGTGCCCGACAACCAGGTGCCGATCAGCCGCGACGAAGAGTTTTCACACCGCTCCGCCCGAGCTGGCGGCCGTTTTTATCTCAGAGGCTGGAAACGCTTTAGCAGAGTAACGACTCCCTCAATGCCGAGAGCGCCGGGTGCTGGCCCAGTTTTTAGTTCAAAGAGGGGGCTGCGCCTCGGCTGGGGACTCCTCCGGTGAGCGAGCCCCTTGCCCCGCCCCGGGCAGGGAGGGCCGGTGGAGCCAGGCCCGCTGCCGCCCGTCCCCTCCTGACGCCTCTGCCTTTCCTTCCCGCAGCAGGGCCCGGGGGGCCGCGGCGCCCACCCGGGCGGCCCGGAGCCGCCGCCGCCGCCCGCCGCCCCGCAGCCGCGGGAGCCCTTCGCGCCCAGCCACGGCAGCGCCTTCCACCTGCCCGAGCCCCAGCACGCCGCCGCGCTCTACTACGCCAGCTCCACGCTGCCGGCGCAGCGGGTGAGCTCCCCGCTGCCCGCCCAGCCCGGCGGCTCCCCCACCAAGCTGCCGCGGGCCGGCTCCGCCGCCGAGGGCGCCGCCTACGCCGCCGCGCAGCGCCTCTCCTCCCCGAAGCAGTCCCCCAGCCGCCTGGCCAAGTCCTACAGCACCAGCTCGCCCATCAACATCGTCGTCTCCTCGGCGGGACTGTCGCCGTCCCCCATCCGAGTGACCTCCCCGCCCACCGTCCAGTCTAACATTTCCTCCTCTCCTATCCACCAGTTAAGCTCCACCATCGGCACTTACGCCACCCTGTCGCCTACCAAGCGGCTGGTTCACGCTGCCGATCAGTACAGCAAGCACTCCCAGGAGCTGTACGCCACCGCCACCCTGCAGAGACCCGGCTCCCTCGCAGGTAAATCGCGGCCGGCAGCGCTTCGGGGGAGAGAAAGTGGGATGCACGGTGCCGCCGCGCTCGCGACAGATGGGGGGAATGGGGGGGGGAATTGGCGGCCCCGGTGTGTCCCGGGGCTGCCGGCCGAGGAAGGAACGGAGCGGGGTGGGTTTGACAGAAGAGCGGTTTGGGGAGCTGAGGGTTTCATCCCGGCTGCGGTGAGTGGGGAGAGGCAGGCTGCCTGCCGGCTGCTTCAGGATACTACCTCGCTTCTCCCGGCGCAACCCGGTGTCGGGCAAGGGTGGCGGTGTCGGGAGGGTGCGGGGCGGGCAGCGCTGGGCGCTGAGCTCCTTCCTCTTGCCCACGGATCGGGTGGGGTGTGTGTTACTATGGTGAATCCCTTCTCTGCCGCGATTAAAAACTGGGGGCCTTTGCAGAGAATTCGTTCTTCCCCGGGTTTACAGGCGGTTCTTGTCAAGTTTGGGGTTACTCAGCAGGAACTCCGGTGTACCAAGTTGTGCCGAGTAATAGGTAGCGGTTATTTGGCTCCGAGTGCTCTTTAGGGAATAGGCTGTATTTAATATCTCTGTAACCGCAGACTTTGAACAGATCCTAGAAGTGAGATGCTGGTGCGCTGTTCCTAAACCATCTCTGCTAAACTGAGCATCCTCAGGGGTGGGTTTTTGTGTTCTCAAAATTCCCAGTTTCATTGCTATAGTAACAGCTGCTATGCTCGTATGTTCTCTTGTGTGACATAAATAGAATTGAAGATAAATAGGATACATAAAGAGGTTTGGCTGTGTATACCAGGCAGGTACACAAGTTTCTTACTGGAAACCTTTTCTCATCCCCCTTTCTCCTCTCTCATCCATCTCTTCTCCCCTCCTCCAGCAGCTGTTGGCATTCTATAGAAATAATTCCAGTGTGTTTAAACATACAGATTAAATTAAGTGATAATAAAATAGAGTATTAATGTATCTCCTTAAAAGAACTATTTGCTAGGGGTATTCTTGTTTATACGGTGGGGATTTAAAAAACTTTGTTGTTGTTTACTTAACACTATTTCTGAAGTTCAGAATTTGAAGAGAGAATATCACTAAATGTTGCCAAAATCTTGATCTCAGGACGCATCAATCTCGTTGTGAAATATTCAGTCTTAAGTTACAAAGTGGTTTATTTAGCAATTCTATTAGTATAACTTTTCCCCTCTGTAGTCCAACACACTGTTGGCCACAGGTATTAAATACGCCTTTGTAAAGTGGAAATGTAGAGTTGCCAGCAACTCTGTATTGCACGGAATTTTTCAGCTTCATCCTAAGAGTTGTTTGAGCCTAAACAGGCATAGAGTGAACTGTCAGCATCAGTGGAACAGAGGATAATTCAATTTAGAGCTTACACCTATGGGTATGAACTACCAGCATTTCCCTGATTTTCTTTGCCTTTGTTCTAGGGTAGAAGTCTTTGCTTTGGGAAGTTGCTAATGGGCACGGTCCATATTTTTCTTCATGTACTTTTAGCATTGGAATTTGTATTGAACCGGGTTTTGCTTGTTGAAGAAGGCATCTTCTGTATCCTTGCAGCATAAAACCTGTGATGATATCTTAGTCAAAATTTGCTCTATAGGGTGTAAGGCCCACGGTAGTGATTCTTAAGTGCTGCAGTGTTAGAGAAGCTGTTTGTCCTAGGCTCTACTCAAGTTGCAGTGCTGATTTGGACTTTGGGATTTTTGGGTAATAGTGCTTGGACAGTCATTCCTAGTGGGGTTTTCTACCTTGATTTGAATACATGTTAAGAAACTGGCATTAATTTTCTTGGATTGCTTTTAAATAAAAGGTTTTGATAACATTTCTTCTGCATCTTGCGTAACAGAGGTACTTCCCTCCCTGCCTCTTTTTTAGGACCCACTGCAAGGAGTCATTTGTCATTGATTTATGGCTCGGGTGAAACAGAAACTTACAGACACATGCATTTAAGAAATGGCTGGTGTATTTTTGTGTGAATTTTAGTATGGGAGGGGGATAGTGATGGATCGTTTGAACTTGCCATTCAGTTTGTAAAAATTGGCAAAGCAACAGTAACTTTTCCAAGTGTTGTGCGGATCAAAACAAACATAATGAGCTTCGGAGTTGTCTCACAGGGATTTGCTTTTAAGATACGTGATAAAAATCTCAGTGTCTTATTTTACTACAAATGGAAAATCCTGTAACGTGAACAAGTATTAGGTGATAGATTTAATTTTATTTTTTAAATGCTGTCTCTGCATGTCTAAGTGAAGCAACAGTATGTTAGTAAACACCATGTGGTTTCTTTCCACAGTGGTGACATGCCTTTCAAGTAGTCCTTGAAAGGAGCTCCATCACATGACCCATTCTTTTGCAAAAGTTTCCTATTGTGTGCTCCCACCCGTTCTTTTCCATTGCCATTCTGTGGCATGTTCCTCCTGGCCTCCCAGCCATCCCAGACTTACACATTTGCTAGCAGTGTTAAGTGCCTGACTAATCTTCCAGAGTTTCACTGGATTCACTGAAGTCAATGGACTACACAAAACCTTAAAATTAACATATGCTTTAGAGTTAGCCAAGATCAGATGTTAGGGTTACTACTAAAGCAATCTTTTTCTTTTTTTTTTTTTTTTTTTACAGGCATTTTTTATTAGAACAGGTTTAGTATTTGAGCTGTCACTATATTATACTGTCACAGGAGTTTTCCAGCCATTGTGTTAGTAATCAAACCTATTGAAAAGGAGAGCAAGGAGTTATACCTTGAAAAGCTAATGTTCAGTAAACGAGATTTTTGCTGCTTTTTCACAACATCCAAAGATGGGTTGGTTGGGTTTTTTTCTTCAAGAGAGGAGGAGGAGGAGTGGAGGATAGTTGTCACATTGCACTGATTGATGGTTTGCCTACTGTGATTAATGTGAACTTGCATTGGTATGTATGTGTCATCATTGGGATGATGTTACTCAAAGTAATCTTTTCTTATCTCTGGGAAGAAAAAAAAATAATTATTTGGAATAATTACCTGGGATACAAATAATGCATTTGTTTTGAATTTTCGAGCATGATATTACAAATTTGTACTGGAGCTATCAGGTTCATAAATACTGCTGGGTCTCAACGTGCTAGACAAACGGAACGGTGTCAGTACCAGGTTTAGATGTTTAAAAGAGAAGACCTTCAGATATGATCAATTTTATGAAAGATTGTAATTGACTAAATGTATGATGCAAACATCGAGTGCCCAGAAACGAATCTGTGTAAGACTTAATTGAAGAGATGGCATTATTTATTTACATTTCCTACAAAGTCATTATAAAACAACTTGAAATTACAAAAATGGCAATTCTTGGACTGCATCTTGAGTGTAAATTAAGATGTGCAACAGCATGCCGTGACTCAGTTTTAACCGAGTAGCCTTAGAAATGTCTTCAGAAATGTGTTTTAGTCTAGTTATACTTAAACTGTCCCCCTTGCCAAATGTGTGTGTGGGTATGGGTATGTGTGCACTTGTGTATATAGTGGTTCTTGTGAGTGTACTTTTGCTGTGTTTATTCTTAGTCTAGCTGCTTCATTGCTGTGATCTGCAATTACAGTTCTGGAAGTGGTTTTCCTATCTGTGCTGCTCCAAAGCACACTTGACTGTCCAAGCAGCAATCTGAATCCAGAAAGCACAGTTTGTAAATAACCTTCTTGCAGCTTCCACACTAGGACCAAGCTGGGGAGTGCTGCTGAGAGTCAGACTTCCCGAAGCAGCCCGTTTTGCCTGGAAGGAGAGGATTGTATAGGACAGTGAGGAGCACAAACATGGGAAAACCCTTCAGGAGGCAGGTCATCACACAGGTGCCCGTCTCTTCACAGTTCTCTGAAACATCTCCTGCTGGCCAGAATCATCAGATGGTACTAAAGAAGTAGTGGGTATTCTTAGGAGCAAAGAGAGAGGAGGCACTGAAAGGCTGTTGAGATAGCCTGTGATTCGGGTTATGTGACAGGGGAGCCACTTCTGCCTTTTCATCCAGGCTTAGGAAAGACTGGGGACATGAAAGAAAACTGCAGGTAATTTTACGCACTGCTTTATTAAAAAAAACAAACAAAAAAAAAAAACAAACAACCACAACCAAAAACCAAACAAGCAAAAAAAAACCCAAAAGAAATATGTTTGAAGACCGCGTCATGCTCCATCAGCTGTACTAAAAGGTTAGGTTTAAGAAATGAGTGTTGGTGTGAACCATTTTGTGTAATGTTAGGTAGAAAAAATACTATGCAGCTGTTCTTCTTGTAGTGGTGACATGTTCCACCTCAACAAGAGCTGCAGCATCCTTCGAACAGGCCTGGTGCCACTGCTGAAAACTCCAGTGCTCAGCCTTGTGTTTGAAAACAGAATCTTCTTCCAGGTCCCTGTAAAACCAGAAAGAAA